CCTGCTCCGGCAGTGTAAGGCTCCGGAGCCAAAGTGCCCACTGTGCGGCGATCTGGGGCGACCCTCCCGGCATGTGCTGGGAGGCCCCAACTGCCACCCTCTTCCTGCTGCGGCTGGTGGCGTAGCCACTACGTTTGCAGCTCCAGCTGAGCTGGCAGCGGGGGTGGCAGGGAAACGGAAGAGGAGGAATAGTCTATCGGGCGGAGATTCCCCATCAGCTGCGGAGAGGTTTTCTCCGCAGCCGGGGGTCTCCGAGCCGATGGACTGCGAGTCGGCGGGTGCGGGCGCGGATCTCCCTTGTGGGACTCCCGCCCCCCCGACTTTACCATCAACCGCGAGCACGGAAGAGGGTGCTCCTCCCTCTGGTTCCGAGGGGACTTGTCCCCCCGGTGCCAAGGAGGACACCCTATCTCCCTTGCCTACAAGGAAGAAAGGGGTGACCCCCCCAGTCCTAACATCTTCAGCATCCGCTACGGGGCTGAAGATGGATCCGAGCAAGGCGCTTGCAGCCCTGCTCGGATCGGGGAGGGTCAAGAAGAAGCCCCGCCCTGGGCCTGCTTCCTCCAAGCTCAAGTAAGAGCTTGATAGGGGCAGCCCAGGGGCGTACGAGGGGGAGGGTCATAGCATCGAGCTATGGCCAATTTAAGGGGTTGGGTCCACCCTCTAAAGGGTGTTTGACCCAGGACTTCGGTCCAGAGGCGGCGAAGCGGGGCTGTGTCCCCTCGCTTCGTCGCGGTGGGGGGGGAGTTAAATCTTCCCCCCTAACAGGATGTAGGGGCGCAAGCCCATACCTACCGGGCTGCCTCTGGGTCATGCCCATAAGGCAGTACGGGGGCAGCCCTCAAAGGGTGGAAGGTGGACACCGCAGGGGTTTTAGTGGGTATTCCCTGCCGGGGTGCTCTTCGGCGGGGCGAGTCCCACACTACCCTGGCCCAGACTTAGTCCGGGTCAAGGCGTGCGTAAACGCATTTCCCCTGCGTAAATAAAAAAAAAAAAAAAAGGTTGTGACCGGGGTCCCCTCCGGGGGTGTACCACCTTGTCGTGGTGAAGGGGCTTGCGTGCCGTGTTGATCCGTGGAGCTATGCCGGCGGGAACTTCGATTCCTGGCAGGGTCTCCCTTGCCGGACAGGTCCACGGGGAGCGGCCAGACTAAGCGTACACCCCGGGCGTGCGGGCTCGTTACCCCTGTGGGGGAGCCGCACTAAGGGAAGGAAAACGCTGACAGCAAACCCGGGCAGGCCGGGCTCGTTAGGCGCGTCACCCAACCGGCCTAGGAGAAGGACACTCCGAAATAAAACCACCCTTAAGGTTTTCATGAGATGCACACCATTAAGGAGAAGAAAGTACCGCAGCAAGAGGACCGGACCCCTAGCTGCCGGCAGGAGGGAAGTATTGTCCCAGCTTCCCTCCCGTCGTCATCTGACGATGGGCCATGCGTCGCTTGCCCCGCAGGGGCGGCGCAGGAAAATACGCCTGCAAAGACTGACACAAGTGTGTCAGTGAGGAGTGACTCCCCGGTCGCTAGCCCCTTTTTGGAGCAACGAACTAAAAGGGGAGCAAGGTCCGGCCCCCGCACTTCCCGCAGGAAACTGTGGGTGAGCTCGGACGAGTCGGAAGGCGAGGAAATGCGCGGCAGGACACTCCAACGTGGGAGCGTCCCGTTTGCCCACGTTGCGATTGCCCACAGTGACTATTGCCCACGTTGCGATTGCCCACGTTGC